TATTAGATATAATACTTTCATATTTAGTTAGCTACAGATGATAAGCTGGTTGGTTTTGTAATATTAATGATTTAGTTTTTCTTATATATGTAATGTTTTCATTCATTTACTTCAGGAATATCTTTTATATAAAGTTATATGTATATTCTAAACATATTATTTCGCTGTACATAGTTTGTTTGTACATGTTGTACATGCCCTCTTAGCAAACATTTAAACTCGCTGCTTGATTCTTAGCCACCTAGCGCCCCCAAGCATTTCAATTATTTATTAATTTGCCACCATCTCGTGAATATCTGTGTTTGATACAGTACACAACCCTTATACATTTAATTAACGCTAGTTGCTATCAAATAACAATTAGAAGACTATGATTTTTTCCAAAATTTTTGTATCTTTATTCCGTTTTGAACTACGCCATAATAGTATGCGTTGAATCTATAAAAATATAGTTGTTATAAGTTATTAATCTGATGATTGATCGCTAATAATGTAATGTGTTAATACTTAATATATATGCCGGTGTGTTATGAGCGAGGTAAGCACAAGTACAATGGTTGGTTGATTAATTTTTGCTTAATACCATGTAATTGTGATCGCCGCGATGACAGTCCGCGTCCGGCCCAGTAAATCAATGCTGCTATATACACAAGTTATCGCTTATTTACCTATGTACAGCATGTATATAGCGGCGTTTGTATGGGTATATACGCGTACGTAGATAATCTCGTCATAGCTCGCACCCGTTATGGTATTACTGTGTGTGGGCGTTGGGGTGAGGGTGCAGGGTGCAGGGTGATGGGTGATGGGGTGATGGGGTGACAGCCCCGCGTGTGCCGCAGGGGGCGCTGTCCGTTTTAAAAATACTGAAGCGAACGAAACTACCGAGCCAGCAGAATGCTAAAGGAAGCCGTTTATTTTGAAAGACCGCGAAGACTCCTCGCCGCCGCTGCGCTCCTGGTGCAAACGGGCAAAAACTTCGGACTACAAAAACACAAAAAAACACGCCTCGTTCGAGCTATTAGCGTGCCAAGCGAAAATATTACGTTAAAAAAAATGGTACTACAAAAGTAAAAGTACCAAGTACTTACGAAACTTAAATTTAACAATTTGTAAATATTTTTTATAGTATAACCACCAATTAACTTTTTATTATTTATTTATATATGTCAAAAATATATGTAAATAGGTTGTGATAATTTATATATATAAACATATCTGTTACAATAATCTTGTATTTCTTGACCTAATATTCTGGAAGCCTTTGCCAAGGCTCCTTATTCTATGGTGCGTTAATTTTTATGGTCATGCATCAGACATGCGAACGAATCTCGAAGAACTGAATTTCACTCAACAAATATACAAAAATAGTCAGTTTTATGTAAACTAACTTTTCACTTATGTACACTTTTGAAGTAGTTTCGTAGTTTATAGTTGGAATTCTGACCAAAGTCTAGCCTTGATCTTATAGCTTTGGTCCATATTCACATTCTAGGGACTTTCATTTGATCAGAAATTAATTATCTAAATTTGAATGAAACACAGTCATAGTTCATTTATATGCACATTTCGTAACGTCTTTGTCAATCATCACAATAACTGATTAACATAATAATAGTACATATACATACATATATTTCTTTTATTTTTTAATGTTTGTTTCATCTTTTAGGATCGAGTTATTTTCCGATGGAATGTAAAATTTGGACATCAAAAGAGTACGATTATTACCGATTCAATTGGGAACAGATTTTATTTTGCATGTGGACCTTTCGGAAGGACAACATTTTAACAGTAAATTACTTTATGTTAACGTTAAACTACTTAACAGGCTGCGACACGTCAAGGATGTGGCTATTAATATCGATATATTCATTGATCGATAATCGAAGCATCCTTTGACGTTGAAATTTAAATGTATTTTGTTCGTATTTTCATAATTGGGCGATGGGTGGCGTCGGGCGCCCCGCGGGGACCGGGGGGGTGCGCGGGTCGCGGGGGGTGCCGTCATCCCCTCGTGGGTATTTAATGATTATACGCTGACTGCCACCTGATTGCAGCACTGATGATTGCTGTTATCGATAAAACTAATTAATGTGGAACTATTTTATTGTCTTGTTCAGTTGTAGGCGTGCTCGTGTACAGATTGATTCAAGAGAATCACGAGGGTGTAGGGCTTTGAAATATATGTGATTAATATATGAAGAAAAATTAAAATTATTTTATTCAAAGACGTTTTAATGAAGAAAACTATGTACATAGGAGTTAAATGAGAGTGAGTACCTGTTTGTATAGGTCGGTAATGTTAGTACGTGCATAGTTTGTGGCGTATATCAGGAGTGTGGTGTCAAGTATCGATAGTGATATGTGCATCACTATTCGCGAGGGAGGCAGGGGTGTCCAGGGGGTGTCCAGGGGGTGTCCGGGGGGCGCGGTACATAGGGCATGTATCAGTACATAGTCAGTACATAAGCGGTGGATGCCGAATTTTGCAGTTATTTTGTATCGGAAACTAGGTTATTTTACAATTTATACCTCAACGAACGATTTCCCCTTAATTCCACCAGATACCAGCTGAATCTGAGTTTAGAATAAAAGGCAGATTTATCATTTTCAACTAAAATCTATTTCAGTATTAATCAAAGTATCGCGATGACAATGGATTCTGGAAATAAAGAGGAGTCTTCTCACTTACTACGATGACGATACTTACACATACTTATAAAGACCTAGGTATATGTAATTATATATGTATAGTATGTTAATGCAGGTTCGTTTGTTTGTCCGATGGACCTTATCGGACTGTCATTGAGGTGTAATTAATTACAAACTGAATTGCATGTACCGGGTATACATAAGTGCGAAGGGTCAACGTATATTTAGTGTCCGCATAGCAGATGCGGTCCTTAGCCACCGCCGCCGCCCTAAGACGGTCGATATCACCCCTCCTAACTCCTAACTGTCTATGTGCACCTGGTACAATAGGTGACAATATACTGCTTATAACTTAAGCTGCGTCTTCACCTCCAAATCTTATATATAATAGAATTTAATTTTAACAATAATATGTTGAGTAACCTGATTGTTGCAACGAATCGTTCTGAAGTACCTACATGTGTAATGCGAACGCATACGATTATCGAGGTTAAAAACTTGATATCTTAGCAAAATTCCTTTGTTACTTAGCCAGTATTAAATAAACACACTTCATAATCATTTCAAGGAATATTTTCGTGTCGAAAGACATTCAATGACACAAACAATTTACCTGCAATCAATTATAACTACAATAAAATGTTTACGTAGCTATGTTTCTTCAGTTTCCCTTTAAACCGTCCATTAACGAATTGAGTTAACATGAAAGTTCACACCATTGGAAATTCACAAATAAGATTTTCGTCAAACAGTCTCATTCTAAATGATGTCCTGTGCTTCAAACATAGATATCAAATTGCCTTGAACGTAACATCTCAATATTCAACCAACGAACTGTATCGAGAACGGCCACTTGTTGAATGAAATCTTTGTATGTTTTCGTAAGTTGACGCGAGCCGTGAAATTGTACAGCTAAAATGTTTACAAAGGATTTTATTGATATATATTTAAAGTGAAAATACTTTTACAAACATATCGACTGCACCATCGTTTTTATATATAAATCTTGGCCGCTTTGTAATAATGAACCGTAAAATGAAACGTGTACGTTAGGTTTTGTTTCGTGTGCATTTATTTTTATTTAAAGAAGAAAAAAACCGTAATTTAAATCGTCCGTTTTTCATTAGCACGGGCTCGCTCTGCTCGTGTAGTGTAAACCATCTAGTGTGTACGCTAGAGGTCGGCTCGGGTTAGGCAATCCGATGGGATTTATCACCGTCCACTGGGAGCATGTCACTCGGTCATTAAGCCGCTAACATCACACTTATTAAACCTGTTGGCGTTCCATGATCTCCTTGTACTTGGAAAACAACAACACTTATAGTTTTTTATAAACCATATATTTTATATATGCAATAAATATTTTAAGTAACAAGAAACAAATTTCAAAATATTTTTTCACGCATATGAAAACAATGATATCTCTATATCATAATATGTATTATATGCAATACAAAAGGAATTATATATAAAACGTTTTAAGTACAATAAAGACTACCATTGTATGATTTTTGTATTGAACACCTAAATAAATAATATTTCGGTGTACATTTTTTTAAATATTCGCCTTATGTGGAACGTTGTCTAAAAATACATACACAGAAGCCCTAAAACAGCTTGTGAATACAGTAATAGCACAGTTTTTGCTTGCTTAGCAAAAATAATGGCTAGCAGCTGCCTAACCGGCCTCGTTTCACGAATAAGTCGCTCAAGTTGCATCAAATGCCAACGAAATGTGATGTTCTTAACGAAATAAGCGTCGACTACGCTGAAGTATACGGAGTTTGATCCTCATATAAATATTATTTTATTTTTAAAATATATATATATATACTTATTTAAATATAACAATTTTATAAATGTTTGATATCGTTTTAATATGTAACTTACCACAAAGTAATATGTTTGCAAAATCTTGCAACTTTGAAGTTAGCCATTTTAGTATTTTTGAAATGATATCTTAAAAGTCAAAATAAACTTTAATGCTGCTTGCTAAGTTTAAAGTTACAAATTTGAAGCAAAATTCGTTGAAAAATATTGATAATTATTGAAGGTGTAAATGTCAACATTACCAGGGGCTCAGCATATAGGTGGAGCTATATTTAGTGGCATGTCCATTTGAAGCACTATTGATTCGCGTCCGCGGCAGGAGCGATGACCTGGCCCGCTGGCCGTTTGGCTAATTTATTAATTATTAAGTACTAACCAACTTATGCTAGCCTAATTTTGGAAATGAAATGGACGGCATCCTTTTATACCCAAAACTGTCTCCCAGTTTAATATGAAGACAGGTCTTTTATTAGTTTATCCTGTCGTATAAATAACGAATTATTTTTTTGTTACAGGACAACCTTACCCCTGAACCAGCTGACATGACTGATGACGACAACTTTCCCGGTGAGTTATTTAACCTTATCTGAGGGTTGTGGTACTAAACTTTATATAAAATCGATCAATACATCGAATAATAACAAGATAAATAAAATTATTATTAAATGACAAAAACTTTGATCGATTTTATATTACACTAACAGACACAGCCACTTGCATCAAATCAATTATGGGGCAAAATTCGATTTTCGAATTGGCATATGTTTGCCTCTAAGCGACTCGTTTCTTATTGGTTATTAATTTAAAATGTGTATAATTCCAAATTTAAATTCTGAAAATTGATTGGCGAATGTGATCTGGTGCAGGTCAGGGCTACGCGAAAGACGCTGAGAAGTTGAAAATGATGTTGCTGGCGTGGAATTATCACAGCCAGACGCAAGGTAAACATATTGTATGTGAAAATAGCGTTTACAAAATCATTTCTAACAAAGATTAACGACAAATATAAGTTTAATTATATTACTTTATTCTTATAAATGAATCAGACTACGATAGGTTGTAAGACATCGTGTATATACGCTTTTAAGTTATCTTAAAAAATACGCCGATGCGGGAGATTAAAGTACCGTGTACATACATTTTTTTCGGTACGGGCTGCAATTTGCACAAAACACAAAAGAATTTCTTAACAAATTTAGGAAGCGTGCCGTTGTAATTAAAATAAATTCACCCCGTAATGTGCTTAGGCCCCTTTTTAAAACTTGACGACAAAGAGGAAAAACATTTAAAATGTCTACGTTTTTTTTAATAAACTGCCCTTGCATATTTCCACGATAAAATCGTCCGGTAGCTATTTTTACCGGCTAGCGAAGCCATATCGAGAGAGCGCTTCGTACTAGGGGCAGACGGTTTAAGGAACCTCAAATTATTTATAGTCGTAGGGTTGCCGCTTGTTACTACAGTTTATTCTACCAATGCTATATAATTTATTAAAACAAAAAACGCATTGGACGTTTTGATTATAGCAAAACGAAAAGAATATTAATTGCAAATAGCTGCGAACGTTACATAAATTACGGGTTTGAATTATTATGAATTGTCATTGCAGGAGTTGAATTTTATATTGATGTAATTTAGCATGGCGTATTAAACTCGGACGCGCCCTACACGTCCCTGTTGACATTTACCTAACTAGCAGATGCAACCGTTCCTCGACCGCCTTATGCATACCGTCATTAATTTCTGCCGCCTTAGTAACTAACTATGAATACGTAATAACCCAAAAATTATATATTTTTTTCTTAATTCATCTTGTAATGTTTTAAATTTACAGCCGATCTTAATGTCACATTAATATTTTTTTCCGAACTACCCGACAGTTGTATTTTATCGTTGCATTTAAGATCACTTATTTATTCCGACCGCCTCCATTTAAAACTTAATACGAATAGCAAAAGTAATTTCCAAGATCATAGCAAACCGAACGGGAGGTAAACAAGTTTTTAGGAAAACAAGACTCATCTTCGGAGACCAAAGTATTACAAGTATCGCGCCATATATGGAGAGGTCTACTCGTAGTGAATTGCGATGCATGGCACATCTCGTTCAAGGCTCGGAATCTTGGCAACACGCGATCTCTTACTGAATTCTGCAACCCTGGTACTTGCAGGCCGCAACGGTGATATAACAGAGAGCGGCCCCGACAGTATGGCGGATCTATGGGCCTCATACCACAGCGCCCTAGGCCTCGGCAGCAAACCTCCCAAGCCTCCCACTCCGCTAGCTACAGGACACTCGGTGAGTTTTAAGGTTGAGCAGCGTTTCATATTTATCTTATTAGAATATAAGAAATAACATCAAAACTAAACTTAATTTGTGCTTTTATTATATAAAACATATGATTTCGAACATTTTCTGATGTAAGCCTTTCCTTCTTTATGTATTCAAATGAGTTTATTATAAAATTTTTGTCATATTTAAGCCCGTAAGAAGGGTTCAAAATAGTTTTAAAGTTAACAGGACACGAAGCTACTTTATTTATCGATACTCTTCTATTTTGGTATTCCAAACAGTTTCTAAGTTTAATTATATAAAGAAATATGTTGTATATTATTTACTTGTATAGAGTCCCATCCACGTCGGTCTCGGTACACCGGTGGAGCCAGCATCGACTCACGATGAGACCTCGTCATCTGATAGGACCAAGGATGATGATGATGGAGGCGCCTCCGATGATGATAGTGATGACCGCGTCGATCCTCAACACCATGATCCTGAACGACTGAAGGCTTTCAATGTATGTATTATACATATACAATATATTTAAGATACATATACATACATATGTCTTCTTCTTCTACCTCCCAATTTCCCAGCTTTACATGTTGTGAATAGTTTTGGCTATTTGTTTTTACGACCGGCCGCCTGCCTAACATCAACCCTCTTTGGGAATGCATTAATCAGTGATGTCTAAATACTCTTACAAAGTACATATTGACTCGGAAAAATCACATTGGTACTTGCCAGGATCGAACCCGCGTTCTCATGCATGTGAGGCGGCCTTTTAACCACTAGGCCACCACTGACTTATACATATGTATATTGACTGACTTATACATATTATGTATATGTATATGTGTATGTGTATTTTGTAATTATCAGATTATCTTGTAAAGAATGTACAATCTGATTTTAGTGCGCGGTGTCAATTATATTCCAGGAATCTTACTCACAGTACGAGTACGAGATTTCTTTTACTATTTACTTTACATCGTTCTATCTCAAAGAATCCTTACTTTTATACATATATAATTGCTTTTTAATATATTATCAATATTGAGCTTATTTGGCATTAAATTTAACTCAGCAATATAGATCGAATTCTTTTCTTGTACGAGAATTTATATTTATCTTTTTGAACTTAGAAATTTATCCTGAAATATCTAAAATTTTTCAGTAATTTGAAGTATTATCTCTGTATTGAGATATATATATGTAGAAAATAAATCTAAATACAATACACAAAGAAGTAATCTTCTATAAACAAAAAATTGCATTTAAATAATTTTCCAGATGTTCGTTCGTCTTTTCGTCGACGAAAACCTGGATAGAATAGTTCCTATCTCCAAACAGCCGAAGGAGAAGATACAAGCTATCATAGATTCATGCACGAGACAGTTCCCGGAGTTCGCTGAGCGAGCGAGGAAGAGGATCAGGACTTACTTGAAGAGCTGCAGAAGGAATAAGAAGGTTCGCGGAGAGGGACCTGCTACTGGGAACGGAGGAAACACACCCTCAGGGAACACTTGGGACACAGCGGTGAGGGTCCGATCACAACTGTAGCAACTATCACTAATATCCCTACTAATATTATAAATGCGATAGTAACTATCTGTCTGTCTGTTACGCTTTCACACCTAAACCACTGAACTGATATTAATGAAATTTGGTATAGAGATGGAGTTGACCTTGAGAAAGAACATAGGATAGTTTTTATCCCAGACTTTTGAAAGGTTCTCTTGGAAACGCGATATAACTGAACTCAACGCTTGCGAAGCTGCGGGCGGAAAGCTAGTATAACATAACCAGATAACATGACCCCTCCATATGAGCATCATAGTCATCAGAGCAAACTAGATAACATGACAATATTTAAATGTAACTAATATTTTTCGGATACACTACATACGCGTTTTATTTTCGTAAAAAACTACATACTCCCGACGTTTCTGCTACTTTTCAGCAACCGTGATCACGGGCAGACGAGATGTGAATTTAAAAATAATGTCGCGTAATATATCCGAAAAATATTAGTTACATTTAAATGAATAAAACTCGAGAAATTATTAGATCTCATTACATGAGAATATTCTTGAACAATTTCTTACAACTACCAGGTTGCTTATTAGTAAAAGTACTACATTCTTAATATGATATCCCCAATTAGATTTCAAATAAATTGTTATAATATACTAAAAGTGTAATAAAAAACATACATACATTCATAAACATAATATTTTTGGTTCGAATACAAAATAAATGGAATAAATTCTATGTTATAGTTTATAATTACGGAATTTAAATTTTTCCAAGAGGATACATAAATAAATCAACGAGATTTTTTATATTGAATCTACAGTTAATCGTTGTTATTATGTATAATTATATATCGTATTTACATAAACTTCATTATATATTGATTTTAACTTATATATTAGAGCACCATTTCGTTGAAGAAGGTTAAGATGAATTCCAATTGCCAAAATGTAAAAATAAAAATATGTATATGTAATATATAAATTATCGTAATTATATAACAGATTATAATGATCTTCTCTTCAAGTACTTATTGTATTTCTCAGTAAAATAAAAAAATAAATCTGTTTTTTTCATTAACTAAGTCTATGAGGATAAATGATTTGCAAACTTTGAGCATCTTTTATATTATTTTCAAATCTTATCAAGTTTGTATTTTAAGTAATGCTGTTCAAATTTCAAGTATCACAACTTAAATAAAGTTATTGCTTATTTAAAGGCACTAAAATGCTCATACTTATTTCTTATTAATAATTCACAAGAATACTCATAACACCATTTATAAGTACAAAGAAATGCTTGGTTGGTGTAATTTAAGTATTAGGGTGTATTATTTCATAATTACATTGCAGATCAAGTAGATATTAAAAACGATGTTGTATGCGGAAAAGTTTCAATTTATATCATTATTATCCGATTAAATATAAAATGTAAACAAATATATATCATTATTATACGAAAGGCGTTTAAGTGTAGTCAGAATTAATACTAGGTACCTATTTATCGTATTATATTACATATACCTATTCACCTTCCGGCCCCACCAAGGCCGGTTGGACGGCTCGTAAAAAGGGTTTCCCTGCGACATCAAAAAAGAAAAAAGATACCTATTTATCGTCAAAGTGATCTAAATGTCTTATTAATTAATAATGCCCTTTAAATCCAGGTGCGTCCAACTCCGGCCCACTTGACGTCGGTCCAAGCTGAACACATTCTGGCGCAGGCGTGCGAGAACGAGAGCCTCAACGCTAAACGCATGCGACTCGGACTAGACCCTGTAAGCCAGCCCATGCCCACTGTGACTCAACCCATGGTCAGTTTTAGACTTGACAATATTGCACCCAATACGCAAAAAAAAACCCCGCAATCGCAATAACCCAAAGCATGCAGGAAATATACGCCATACAGGAATTAATCGCTTCTAATAATATGCATCCATGACATTTTCAGGATCCGCAAACATTATAGATCATGGAAATTATATGACATTAAACCTCTTTCGTGAAACCTTCATCACTGAATCGAATTAAAAAAAAGCATCGCCTGTAAATGTTATATGTTTCCAGGCAATCGATACAACAGCTACGTCATCATTCCTGAGCCTGTACAGCGGCTCAAGTTCCACAACAGTGACCAGCTCCACACACAAGGACACTCGCCCGGCCACCAGCCCCGCGCTTGAGAACACCAATAACAACAGCCTCAAGATGGACTCCAACGGAAATACAGGCAGCAAGACTGCTAGGTGAATACACAAATATTATTTAACTAGCTGCTCCCCGCGGAATGTAAAATAGCCTATGTCCTATTCCTAGATATGAGCTTCATGTATACAAAATTTCATGAAAATCGCTTCAGCCGTTTGAGCGTGAAGAAGTAACAAACATACACATACTCAAAAACTTTCGCAATTATAATATTAGTAGGATTAAAATGTCTTCCTATAATTTCAACTATCCATATGATAACTCTTGTTAGTAACATTTAACGATCTTGGGTACAATCCATAGTAACACTTCTAACGGTAAACATTATCTTGACCTTCCATTATGAAGACTTTTGGTTACCCATTTTGAAATTTATAATTATTCTTCCAGTCCAGCGTCATCACCAGCTCCGCTGTTCAGACCCTCGTTTCCGAACACGTTCGGAAATCCATCGACTTTCGCGAGGCAGAGGTAACATATAAAGTCAAATAAATGTTGCCATTTAAAAAAACACATTCAATATTCATGCGTTCCATTTTTGAAAATATTCTAAAATTACATGTATATTATTTACAGTTCAACAACTAACCCGACGTCAGCTCTGTCGAGCACCGCTCTTCTGTCTACACTTACTTCTCTGCCGCCAACAGGTAAATAGAGAATTTCCTCTTAAAATCTTTATATATATAAAAATTTCGTGTCACATGTTTGTCCGCAATGGACTCCGAAACTACTAAACAGATTTTAAATTTGATTTGCATTCCGTGTGCAGTACATCTCAATTTATGGTCACAATCTTATTTTATTGCAAATTATTTGTCTATTAAAGAAAATTATTTGTCATTATTACAATTATCTGTTGACTGAGTAAGTATTCAATAGATGGCGCTGTGTTAAAAATACAAACGTCATGTATGAGCAACTATTTAATACATAATAGCATAACCACTACGTGTTTCTGAGGCTAAAGATGGATGGAGGTATAACCTAACTTTATTTATTAAAAAAACGTAACAGATATTTCTTGATTATAGGGCGATACGAAGTTCGCCGTGTCTTCTAGTATAATATGTATAATATAACAAATCTATTAACTTAACATCATTATTCTATGTAAGGTGTTGGAGTGAACGCAGCCATGGCGGCCTATCAGAGCGCTCTACTCTCAGCTATGGCGGCACACACGCACACATTCCCAAACTTAACAGGTACATAGAAATATTATTATAACACAAAATAGATTCTTCATAAAATTTAATCTATTTAAGTTAAACGTAAACTTGTTTTTTTTTTACTTTTTAATATCACGTACGTAATGTCACTGTCAATGTCAAGTTTTTTTTTACTTTTTAATGTCACGTACGTAATGTCACTGTCAATGCCAAGTTTTTTTTTTACTTTTTAATGTCATGTACGTAATGTCACACTCAATGTCAAGTTTTGTTTTTGATTGGCAAATAATGTAATATTATATATAAACCATTTCCAGCTCCAACCGATCTCTCTCTGAAGACATCAACGGCTCCTCTCCACACGAGTTCTCTCTCAGGCTCCAGCACTAAGTCACTTCTGTCTCACAAGCTGTCCAACGCCGAGGTCGGGGCTGTGAGACAACTCATAACAGGTTACCGCGAGTCCGCCGCCTTCCTTCTACGATCCGCGGATGAATTGGAGGCATTACTGCTGAACCAGCCCTAGGACAGACCGAAATTGTCGGACATATTCGGATTCAAGTTCGGATATTTCTGAACAATTGAAAAGATTTTTGTTTTCGGCGCGAAAAATTTGACTTCTCACGGCCATGTTGGACTTTCGGCCGCGTTTAGTAATTTGTTTGATTATTATGATTGGCGAGTGCGGTCGCTGGTGAAATCGATGGACGATTATAATTTTAAGATTTAAATGTTTAATAGTGTTTCCGTAACTGAATTGGACAAATATTCTACAGCCAAAAAGATTTTATGTAATTTTTCTTTAACTATATGTCACTAATGTCTTTATTATAATCATCTTGTTGTGCTTTAATCTCGTCCTACGTGCGACCTGACATAGGTCTAAAACTAATAAGCCTCACAGTATAAAACCTTAATATAATCTTCTTAGCAAAATTCTTAATAAGCATTCCTCAACTGATAACTTGAGGCTATATAATATTCTTGCATTCTTAATCACATCTCTAGAATAACGAGTTACAAAAAGTATATATATATTCGGCGTTTATTCAAAGCTGCCATATTGTAAAAAGTGTTGCCATTCTAAACTCATCAGAGAGTACAACATTATTTTGTGTATATTTAGAATTAAGAAAAAAATCAGGGAGTTTTTAGTGTAAGTTCGAAAAGTTTTCTTGCCTGGTGCGATAGATTAGTAATTAAAAATTATTAGCGGGCAGCGGATATTGAAATTCAAAGTTTTGAAAATAGATACATAATTTCTTAAACCGTAAGTTTTTAGTATAACAGAGTCTAAAAGTTAGATTTTAAATGGCGTTTTAGATCTAAGAAGCACACGAATTTATTTGTTGTTTTGTATTATACTATAGTTCTGTAGTTGTATTTACAAACGATTAATATATTTCTAAATAATTATTGCGGTATCGTGATTGGCTCCATCCAGTTTTTATTTAATTATTATTTTCGTGTCATTATAAAAGGAGTATATGATTGTAATGTTTTCTTTGGAAGCGGTGTTGCTAGTTGTAATTTATATTAAGCCGATTATTTCGCTTTGCTCAGTACAATAACAATATTTTGATCTTTGTGTATACTTGTTACCATAGAGGTTATGGCCAGGTACTGTAGGTAGGTTAACTTTAGATATTGCTTATTGTGTAATTATAAGTTTCCATTTATTACGATGGTCCGTTGGAGGTTTGTTCTGGGCCTAATCTTTTTGTTGTTTCCGAGGTACCTCGTATGTTATCCGATTTTCCGTTATTAGATGCCGTAAGTACTTAATGAATGTTTTTTCTTTTATAATTCTCGGCCAGTTCTAGTTTCAGCAATAGTGTTCTAGACAGTTACAATGATAGATTAATTTGATAAGCTAACATACATATAGATGATAATTCAAATGATTAAAGCTTGTTTCTTTTGCTATTCGGGAATCGCGGATACATATTTGATCTTTCGATATTATGAAAACATAATCAGTACGACGTTTTGGATGAAAAAAATCTATATTGGATTCAAAATTCAAAAAATGCAAGAGATTACAAAAATTTTGTAAATATTTAGCGTTTCCCGAACAATGTACAATAGATTTTTCCACTTTGCCAATATCTCTCAATAGAATCTAATGCCAGTTTTTAAAAAATTGTAAATTCACTTTTGAATATTAAAAATAAAAATTGCCAAAGAATCGAATTGATTATTATAATTGATTGTCTATAATCAGACGAGTTTAAATTAAGTTCTTACGTTATAGGTTACTATGTTTTAGTTTTAGACCGATATCTATAATTAGCGATCTACTTTGATACACATGTAACCGAGGTTCTATCAGAGTATATAATTCGGTTGTTCATAGTTTTCATTGTTGATATAAATTACCTCGATAATGTTGTTTTTATGACAAATTTCAAAAGATTTTATTATAAAGTAGCTCCTATTTATAGAACGTCGAAGTCATTCCAATATTTTTCTAAAACTTCATTCGGTGCGTAGTGTAGTGTAAATGATTTGTAAAAAGTATGCCTATAGTATTATAAAGAGAGGGGAAAAAAAGTTGATTAAATATGACAGTTGATGTTTAGATGAAAAAGACGGACACGTTGAGAATTGTTAGACGTTCAAAATATATTATTAAAGTATAAATGATTTAAGATTATTATTAATTTGATAACACAAATTGTAATACAAAGACGTTTGTTACTATATGAAGAATTTAGTTATAATTTTTGCAATTTCAAAATGTGAGTTTTACAATTTTGAAAAAGAAAATATTAAATATGCTCATATAAATCACGTTGTTTTATTTTTAACACATAAAAATCCTGATGTTTCGTACTGTTAATTAAAATAATACTTCGATTAATACTGAAACTCATTTTGAATTCATTTTCTATGATTATGTTCGTCTTTTAGTCGACTTGCTAGCTCCGGTGACAACGAAACGATCGGAGTAGGGGAAATATCGTTTGTCTGACATGAGGTAGTTTGTGGCGTTTGCGATGAAGGCCAGGTTAGACTTGGAGGCCAGGTAAGAGAACATGGCCGGGAAGCGCTCCGTACCGCATCTGAGGGTATGAGGGTAGTTAAACATGAGCAAAACATAACAAAGACAACAATTATGTAAGACTTTCGTTAGTATTCATTTAAATGGAACTAATATTTTCGGGTTATTTTATTATTTTTAAACACTACATACTACCGATGTGTCGGTTAATTTGCAGCAACCGTAATCACGGGCACACATTCTCATGTCGTCTGTCGTCAAAATAAAGTAAAATAAAATGTCGTAATAATCCTAAAATATTAGTTTCATTTAAATAACACATATCGTCTGTGATAGTGTAAATCCATTATTAGCATTGGATTTTAGTAATATCTGCATTAGAAGCCAATTGACAAGCCCATTAAGTTTAAACTTATAATTTTCGAAATTTAATGACTTAAGCAAATGTTTTCACAGCGAGTAATAAACTCATCAATAATATAAAGTGCGATTACATCTTGTTAATGTTATTAAAACTGTAGATTTTAAAGTTGATAGTGATAACTCGTACTAAGTATATGTAATTATTTGTAACAACTTACAGTTTACGTATCCCCCATGAGGCTAGACCCCATAAAACACCATCACTCACAGCAGGCGCCCCCGTGTCACGCTGAAGTTAATTAAAAGTTATGATAAATATACTATTAATTATATTAAAGTAAGTGCTTTATGGTTAAATAACCTTTTGTTCCTTTCATCCTGGACATAACTTATTAGTTGAAACGATAACTAAGTTCTAGATGGTATGCATAGGCTTCGCAATTTGGTTTTTAGAGAGATGAATATTGTATAAGTACTTAATTAAATATCAACTAGTCGTCAGCGACATCTATCGTCGTCATCATGACTTCATACTACACAACATTACTATCATAATTCACATATTATTATTAACTTGGGTTGACATTTAAAATCTCGACTCGCACCGTATATAGTGTATATAAGCCATAGTGTGTTAGAATGTAAACTACATAGAACGAAATAAATAGTAGCCTATATTTTATTTCGAGAAGTTATCTACATTATTGGAAAAGTTTCATGATAGACGAAACCTCTTATCCTTCAATGTATTCACCCTACAAGTGCCGGGTCCTTTGTTGCAGGGAGAGAAGCTTCAACAGTGCCTGTGACTTGCGACCCAGGTGTAGGTTTAAAGGGCCCCTATCTAACGCGTTAATAGCTCATCTTCATTTACACAGTATAATATTAGTAGTATGTTCTAAGCTACTAACAGTGCAAGGCGCGCGTCGTCCAGTCTGTGTGACACAGAAGAAGTTTTCAGTAACAGGTACTCCGAACCTCATAGTGACGTTGTTACACTGCTCGTTGCTCATCAACATAGCGTGATACACTTGGAGCGTGCTCGACATACTGTCGTATACACCGTCACGCTAAATTAAAATAATATATTCAGATTTTATTACAAGTTGGACATTGGAACGAAATTATTGGTCATTTAAATCAGATATGTGTTTAATGTAATTCAAACTCCACCTAGAGGTAGAATTTCTATCTTTTCATTAATAATTAATTTTGAATAAATATAGATATTATATAAGTTTAAATATTTTGTTTGTGTTAACATTGTTCTTTTTTTTTAAATAAACTTCTTTAAATCTAAATATTTCGTATCTAATTAAATCATGCAAAACTTGTTATAAAAGTTAATGATTGTATAAAAATAATTTAGATTTTTGGTCATTCTGTTTTCTATTTTTAAAACCTTCTTAATCGTCTTACTTATTACATATTAAGTTATAATATTTATCTCGATTAAATAAAGTCTGTTTGTTTTGATGACGTCTCAACAAAACGACAGTCAGCTCGTAAAACACATATTTGTTTTAAAAATAAACGTTGATAAACACGTGATATTAAATAGAAGTGTAATAAATAGTTAAATTCCATCAAAAAAATAATTAAACCAACTCTATTCGAACCCCAGCTAGTGACCCAGACATCTTCAAAAGCCGGCCACATCGCACGATTCGGGAGATCAACGCCATGGACTGAGTCAGAAAACCTAGAGGACAGAAAAATAACAAATTATGTACATATAAAACGAATTGAAAGTAAAATATTTTTTTAATAAGAATAAACATAATTATTGCAAGGAATATTTTTGAGACATTTTTTAAGTTTAAATGATAAAAAAATATGATAAAACAGGATAGAAGTAATATCTACCTAGCACTGAAATGTGTGTAATATACACTAAATATATCTAAAATATTTGACAGCAAAACCAACATCTTGGAATATGTAATATTAATCTTTTTTAGTTTTTTACTATTGTGTTTAAAACTGTAGTATCTTCGATCATTTATGATTTCAAAGATGATGGAGCGAATCATCAATACGAAACTTTTGGTCATCTAAAAGATAACCAGATTATTAGTGACCGCCAGTTTTCGACACAAGCGAAGCTCGGCATTTCCTAGTCTAACTCAAATGAACAAATCATTTTCAAAATACTTATCACGTAATAAAATATAAATTGCCATTTCAGTTGAAGGTTGTTCCTTATATTAAGATAAATACAGTTCAGTTAAACTAACGTACACTATAAGTATAAACCACTGAATTAATCATTGAAACGATTAAAGCAATAAATTTTAGTAAACATGTCGTAATATTTATATCTTCTAGACCGTAAGATTGAAGGGACGTGGTACCAGATCACTAGAACACATGAAAAACATATTTTTTCATACTAATAATTCGCTTAAATTTGTTTTCAAAGAATTTTATCCATATTTTTGTGTGTTCCTTTAAACTTACTTAATATTTCTGTCTAATAGAAGCAGTCCAACGTCGTTGTCTGGTCCTCCTCTTATATCCCACAGCGGATGTTTCACCACTTCCATAATTTTAGCCACTTGACCTTTCCTATCCATATGACGAGTACCAGCTCTGATTTTCATACGGCTTACATGGTCCGACCTAAGTATGATTAACAATATTTAAAAAATATTGACAAAATGTTAGGCTTTTACATGATTTAACTAAAAAAAGACGTAATTCGGAAGGGAATATGAATCGTATAATAAACTTACTTCCAAATGCAGTTAGCTGTTGTTATTACGAGCCTTTGGTTAAGCAATGCGCCGGCGCACCAATGTTCGCGGCCTTTCTGTATTGATACCACGTAAGGGTACTCTTTAATCATGGCATCTCTACCAGCTATAAGCCTTCTATATCCAACTACAAACAAAAAATCCTCTCAGTTTTATTTATACGGTAATGCATGCATTTTATTTTTTATAGTGAGTAGGTTTAAGTAATTCGTTTAGTAAAAGCCCATTTGTATTAAATATTTTATTATAAGTTCAACTTGCTGGTTTTACCTTTTCTGTCTTCTCTATTTCTTAAACTTCTTTGGCGTTTTAATTTTCTGTTTCGTTCAATCAATTGTCTTTTCATATCGGTGTTACGAACCTTCTCAGTATATTTCAATTTTATGCTCGATCTTTTCGGTCCTTGCCTAAGATTTGACCTCTTCTTATTGCTTTTATATTTTTTGTAGACATACGTTATATTATCTTTGGTCCGTTTAGTTTTCATTTTTTCTTGATGTTTTTGATGTCTCTTCTGGCTGCTGCTTCTACCTATTTTCTTATGAACTTTATTGGCTTTGTCTTTGGAACTTAAATATCTCTTGCCTTTTGCTCTTCTCCGTGTTCGTGTATTATTTTCTGTGTTATCTAATGATCTTTTATTCCTAAAGACAGTGAGTTCATATTCGGGTAACACCTTCTTCACCCTTGGTTTCCTCTCCACGTTTGTGTTTTGGAAGTAATGTTTTTCAGCCGAAGTCTTCACAACCTTATCACCTATCGGCGGGAATGCTGTGTAAGTTACCTTTTTATCTTTTTTCTTATAAAACGCTTTACGGCTCTCCTGTTCTTTTAATTTGTTGAATTTCCTCGCGTTTATTATTTTGATACCTTTCTGTAATGGCATTTGGACTTTTTTTGGGAACGTCTTTACTAGGACCGTTGGTTCCAAATCATCGTCACATTTATGATATTGTATTGCGCATATTAAAAGTAATATGAACAGCGTCTTCATCCTGTGAGACGTCTCATATGACCGCGTGCACTAACACTTGTTTTTACGACATTTTTATGATCTCCAACAAGCGATAAGGTTCCAATCGTATGCATGCAATTCCATATCATAATGTCTTTAATAAAAACAACGAAAAAAATGCAATTTAAAAATCAAATACTTGAGGATAATTTTTTATGTAAACCTGGTAATAAAATTTTAAAATTGATTATAACCAATATTTTGGATATTTTTTTCAGAAGACCATACACAAATTTTACATATAATGGCAAGTTTTGTGGTTGTGGAAGAAAAAACCATGGTACATGTTTTATTAAGTAATATATTAAAACAGCCATTTAAAATACACCTTTCATTAACAATAATTTTGATATTAAAAACAGTTGTCGAGTACTAAATTGTTTAATAAATGCATCGCTTATGTACTCTCACATTAGACGGTTAATTCAATTTTAATTACCGTGAAATACAAACAAGACATTCATTATTTTAAATAATATATGAACATCAAAGTTTAATGCCAAATAACGCTTTAATATTAAACATCTGCAATTTGATTATTATTGAATATGATCGTAAAATATATTTCACAAATTGTGTTGTCAAAAAAATAATACGCAATTCTTTGGGATTAGAATTTATTTTTAAACAAAAATTTATTTCAAACCTTTAAAAAAGCAATTCTTCACAGTTACTTCTCTTTAAATTAACTAAACATAGCTTAAAATTTATGACGCCTTAACTAACTTAAATGTAGATAATACTTTGTTTAAAACCTAATCTTCTATATATATAAAAATGGATTGCTGTTCCTTAGTCTCGCTAAAACTAGAGACCAGCTGAACGGATTTATCTTATCTTAGTCTTGAAATGTTCGTGGAGGTTCAGGGAAGGTATAAAAGCTGAAAAAAATTGATTCATTACTGGGAAAACCATAAAAACAGCCCTTTTCTATTTCCCATACAAACGTTTTTTGTGACATTAGATTTGACAACTAACTAATATGTCAATCATTCTGTCGCACTTCAAAACACGGAGATTTATGGCTTACAGGTAAACTCCAAAAATATAAATAAAAAAACGTAATAGATATTTCTTGATTATAGGGCGATACGAAGATCGCCAGGTCTTCTAGTATGAATAATAAATTAAATAAATACTTTTTATTTTATTAAATTTTACAAAATATTATTAAGTGATTTTACTACATATGTATTTTGTAATTGAATATTATATAGGACGTAAAACATTAATTGTATTTTGATTCATTATATGTAGTAAGTATGATTTAGTTCACTTTGCATTAAATAATTGAAATTGATATTCTTTATTTATTATTAAAGTTACATATGTGTATATGTGATATAATTTAAACACTTGAAAATCTCCTAAGTAATGTGTGTGTCGTACAAAAAAAAAAGCAACATTAAGTCAAACATATTCTATCACATTCCAACGTATCTCCAAATCCTCTTGTACTCTATATATATTACATATAATGTATATATGTGTGTGTGTGTGTGTGTGTGTGTGTGTATCTGTGTGTCCTAGTCTCTAGGAGCGATCTTCTTGTACGTAGCCAGTTGTACAGCCAGCTGGTGTAACACACTCACAGCGGGTCCGTCCTCCAAGGCCCGACTCACTCTGACCGCTCGACCACACTCACGGACCAAGTACTCTAGCTCCGACTCAGATTGACGATTGTCACCTCGGATGAGAGATACTTATATTATGGCTGGATTCGTTGAATTATATATATTATAGCTAACTAGATGGAGATAGTTTAAGATTATAAAATATTTGAAAATATTTCATTTCAACTCTTAACTACTTAAAATTTTAATATAAAGAAGAAAAAAATTCTGCAATTAGATAAATTTGAGTAACTTCATTCGTTCTTTATAAGAAAGATAATTAGTCTATAATAATCTTTTATCTCAATCTTTCTTTATCTTTACCTTGAGCCATCCTGTCTGTGTGTGGTTGTAAACATTTGTTGAGTATCCTCGCGAGCTGCGTCCTTTCAGAGCTGAACGCCTCGTCCAGGTCGAACAGCTCCAGGGGGGGAGGGGGGAGCTCGCGGAATGTGGGGGAGAACACCTACACGTGTGAGAGAGAGAGATAGATAGAGAGAGAGAAATATATATAAACTAGCTTTCCGCGTGGATTTCGGTTATATCGCGTTTCCAAGAGAACCTTTCAAAAGTCTGGGATAAAAACTATCCTATGTTCTTTCTCAAGGTCAACTCTATATCTGTACCAAATTTCAATAAAATCAGTTCAGTAGTTTAGGCGTGAAAGCGTAACAGACAGACAGACAGAGATACTTTTGAATTTATAATTTTAGTAGCGATGTATTTAGAAATTATAATAAATATAGTTAATATTACCGGATTTGTATTCGTTATTTAAATTTAAGAAACATACTCCCGATGTTTCGGTAACTTTGCAACAACCGTGATCACGGACAGACGAGATGTAGTTTTAGATATAATAAAATAACGGGTAGTAGTTAGAAAGTCTAGATTCATTTAAATGAATACTCGGGAAAGTCTTATATACCATTAATATACTATAAGTTGTTAAAATTCACCATATTTTGGAAATGAATTGTCAATCACCTATTTCGATTTCTAATTAAGTTATTAAAAGAGAAAATTATCTTACCGCTAGCTGTAGTGGTGGGAACGGCGTCTCAAACTGTGGCGCTATCAGTCTTAAAGGTTCATGTTTGATTCTGAGCTCCTCATATAACTCTAAGACTTCTGGCACTGAAAAATAATAATATATAATGAAGGAAACTACATAATTATTACTATACAAATATTTATGGATATTAAAAGATATATATGGTATAACAATAATAAATTGGTGTCTTTTTATGTTTGAGAAATAATAATTTAAATCGCGTTAGATAGGGGCTTAAACCTACACCTGGGTCGCAAGTCCCAGTCTCTGTTAAAGCTCCTTTCACTACAACGATGGACTTGACACACGCACGGTGAATATATTGAATGATGAGAGGTTTTCTTCTCAAGGAATTCAAAATTTAAACTCTTTTTCTACTATATCTTCATTATATTTCGTTATATGTAACTGATCAAATTGAAACTTCTTTGCCGGCATCGTCATATCAGAGTCCACATTCGCAACAATTTTTACATTAATTCGATGAGTTTTTCACTTTCTTCTTGACATATTCTTGTTAATATGTCAAGAAGAAAGTGAAAAATTCATCGAATTAAGGTAAAAATTGTTGAGAATGTGGAGTCTGATATGACGATGACGGCAAAGAAATTTCGAAGCAATTATAATAAGTATAATGTACTCACAATGTGATAGATTCAGTGAGAACAGTCTCCAAGCGACTAGTGCGTGTGGATGAAGGGATAGTCGCGGCGGTGGACATGAGGCGGGCTCAGGTAGAGGAAGATGAGATAAGTAGAGAGTATCACACAACGTGCGGTACTCACACACCTATATACATAATTTATTACACACTAGCTGTTCCCCGCGGTATTACCCGGATTTCCGGGATGTGAAATAGCCTATGTGTTATTCCTGGACGTCAGCTTCGTGTATACAAAATTTTATCAAAATCGCTTCAACCGTTTGAGCGTGAAGAAGTGACAAACACACACACTCACAAACTTTCGCAATTATAATATTAGTAGGACTATTGAGAATAGAACGTTTTATATAATAATTTATAAGTATATCTTGCAGTTTAGGGGTATGTGATTTGATTCAAAGGATTAGATTAATGAAATTACATCAGGGAATATTATAGATTGCTCTTTTATAGTAGATTGTGTGAAGTATCTATTTGTAAAATATTTTGTTTGATATGTGAAGTTCAGAATTTTTTCAAATTTTCACTAAACTATATTTCTTACTATCCCCTTGAATGATGGTGGATCTTCCAGTTAAAATTCAAAAACACGTACAAATATTTTTTTCAATTAATTAACAATTTGTATAAAAAGTAAAATACTTATCTTAGAATACTGATTATATAAAAACTATTGAAGAAACTTACATCAGGATCTTCTATGTCCACAGGGTTTAAGACCAACTCCGCCACACCTCCGAGGTGATTGAAAAATAATTCACGAATGAGGTCATTGCACTCACTCTCTAAATACTGATCAGTGAAGAAATGACCTGATCCAATGACGAAAAGCTTTCCTGGAAGAAAGTTAATATTACAAATTTTAGAACACGTAAGAGGAGAGCTTTGATTAATTAACACTATGTACTCTGATAAAATATTATGAACAAAGTGCTCGTTAAAATAAATTTAAGTCATAATGACAGTTATTTTTAAATCGGTTAAAGTCTGACAGAGAATTTCCTCTATTTATTATACAGCAATGGCATTATCAAATTAATATTATTTGTTTAAGGAAATTATAATTATACAAAATCCATATAATTTCATCACATATACCTACAATTATCTGAATTCTGAGACATCACAACTTTTAAATACTATTTTATATCAACAATGATTAACTATAAAATTATAAGCAAAACTAACTGTATAATGAATAACACTTTACGCTCCAGCTGAATAAATACGCAACTGCCTTTTCAAAATAAAATCGTATATACCACCACTTTTTTCTGAAGTATACAAAGCAGCGAGTGGTCTTTTAACAGGATAACAGACGTCACTGCTGGAGAGTATACCGACTGCTGGTTTTTTGACAGTCAACGTGGCGCCGTAAGGATACACGAAGTTAGGTGACGGTGGGTCCTCACTGATAAATGAAGTGTTGTTTAATAGTATAACAACAGTATGTACTATAACTATATGTAAATGAAACTACTATTTTCGGATTATACTACGCGTATTTTATTATTTTAAGTACATAATCCCAACGTTTCGGTTATTTTGTAGCAACCGTGATTACAGGCAGACGAGATGTAACCATGTATGTAGTTCAAAACAATAAAAAACGCGTAGTAATCAGAAAATATTAGTTTTATTGACTTTATGTACTGTTTTAAACAGTATTAAATTTATATTAAGTTCAATATATACTTGAAATGTAATTTTTAATGTGATTACAACTCTTACATGATTAAATAAATAGTTTTTAGAATTAGAAAAAAACAAAACATTCCTTTGTAACAAGTATACCTATTATGTTTTTTTTTAATATTTCCGTTATTTTAGTTAATAATGTGAAATAGTTTTGGAGTTTAGAGGAAGAGAAGTAACAGACCGACAAAAATTAATAAATGGTTGTTACATTATTGAAAAGATTTTTTTATGGATTACAACTCTTCTGTTAATTTCGGCGTATGTACATAACGAATTAAAATTTTGTCATGTATCTACCATTAATGTAGAAATAACAATTTTTTCCAGACCTACTTATATAGATATAATATAATTTTCATATATAATAGAATTTTCAAAATAACTTACAGAAAATCGTCTGATTCACTGATGTAGTTTGGCATTTTCATAAGATACTTCACAACAGCGCGGTTTAGAATGCCATTAGATATGTGGCATTCTTTTGGGTGATAAAATTTGTGGTATTTAGCACGTACAACACAATCTAAAACAATTTAAGTACATAACTCATAATCTAGACGTAATTCATTCATTGAGACTAAACATATTTTCTACATAATTTAATCGTTACTATCTTTCCGCCAGCAGCTTAGCCCGCATGAAGATCGGTTATATCGCGTTTCCAAGAGAACCTTTCAAAAGTCTGGGTTAAAAACTATCCTATGTTCTTTCTCAAGGTCAACTCCATCTCTATACCAAATTTCATTAAAATCAGTTCAGTGGTTTACGCGTGAAAGCGTAACAGACAGACAGACAGAGTTACTTTCGCATTTATAATATTATAGTAAGGATTATTATCTGAAGCGCCTACATTATTAAAATAGCAATGACGCTCTTTCCCTACTACATACCATTATTAACAACAATACCATATTCTTCTAAGAAGAAGTTTATATTGGTGTTCATTCTTTCTTCTCCGCCATCCGTCATCATGACCATCACTGAGTCTCCTCTCTCAACCACACTCTTCATAAGAGCCAGTTCATCATCATTGAACACGTTCTGTGGTCCAGGTATCACAAGGATTTTAACGTCTTGTAATACATTAGACGATAACTCGTCCCGATTACTGTATAGTATTATAATAATAATTAAATTAATTTAAAAATAGTCAGTGGTGGCCTAGTGGTTAAAGGGCCCGCCTCTCGTTGCCGAGGTCGCGGGTTCGATCCTGGCAAGTACCAATGTGATTTTTCCGAGTCATATATACTTTCTAAGACTATTTAGACACTTCACTGATTAATGTTGATTCCCAAAAGAGGGTTGCTGTCAGGCAGGCGGTCGGTCGTAAAAACAATTAGCCAAAACTATTCACAGCATGTAAGGCAGACCCTGGCTATAGCTGGGAAATTGCTAGGTAGAAGAAAAATTTATTTAAATATTCTCATAGTTACATTATCGTTTCATTATAAGTAACTAGTTTGGACTAAAACTTAAGTTTTTTAAGGCTGAACTCAATATTGTTGTTATAAAGGTAAGTGTGGAATTTGTAATCCTGACTCGATGTTACTTTTTGTAAATACCTTGCGAAGATTAAAATTTAGGAGCCAATAAACTATAATATGGCGTTATAAGGTCTTAATGCTATTTATGTTGAAGCCAGGTTACTTACATCATTATCTTCCAAGCTGTTTTCAACTTTCTGTGTAACAACTTCAAGTTCTCATTTATCTTGAACATCTCATTCTTGGAAACATCGAAGAGTATAGTGTCTACAGCCTTCATTATTATATATTATTTTTATAATATTTCTCTATCTTAATAATAAATTATTAATTTTCTTGATAGCTTATAAATATTGTGTGAATATAAACTTAAACATTACACGTAATGTATGGTTCCCGTTGCTAAGCAACAGCTGTTGCCAGGACAACGAATTGCGCGGGAAAATGTTGCCAAATGTTTAAATTAAATAGCATTATTTTTGAACTATACTGTTATTTAAGAAATACTGTTCAGAATGTTCCGGCCATGTTTACTGTTGAATAAAGATAATATTTCCAAAATTATTGTAAATAAAAAGTTCAAAAACGTCTTTTATAAAACCTGTTTGGCGTAATGAGAATTATTAAAATCTGAAGTTTACAATTTAACTTGCTTGCTTAGTAATGAGACCGAATTAAATATAAAAGAAATTCGACCGTCAGAACTTTGTGATTCATTACGAAAGACTAAAAAGGCTGATTTGAAAGACACGATGTTTTCCCTTAACTAACATAGATAAGTATAATTCCACAGAAATTTATACAAGTATAAAACTAAGTGTTCCGTAATAAATCAAGTTTCTATTAATTTTATATAAAATATTATTTTGCAATAAAATAATATCACCTTTTTAATTATACACTTACCTGATATACCAATATTTTATACTAATTGAGTTGATGAGTTCAGGATCAAGTAAATTAAAACAACATAATATAATCATCAAATAATATATTTTTATTTACAACACGTTGTATCGCAACTTTCCAATTAAAATTTTCATATCACTAGCATAAGCTATCTTCATAACTTAACTATTTACATTTTATCTTTTTTTTTGTTTAATTTTATCTCATATTGCTACATTTCTTCCGTCTGACAGACGATCGATACATTTAAATAAAAAAAAATTGAAATATTTCAAATAAAATGTGTGCGACCGAAAAAAACAGAAATTGTTAACAATTTTTTTTTTACAATAAATCAGTTAGTAAAAGTGAAAAATATATTTAGAAGCACTATGTATTATATGTTGTGTTCATAAAATAAGTGTAAAAAATATTGCTGTCTCGTCAACTATTTGGCAGTAGTGCTATAATATAAAATACACTTAAATATAACATATCTAGTGTAACTCCAAAATGATTTATATAATTGTGCTGTTTAACAAAAATCAGTACTTTTTTTAATGAAATTTAATGTGGCAACCCTAAATATTAAAGCGACTTTTGTATCAACCCTAGCGTAAGACTAAAGTATTTTAGGGAATTTCCCGAAATTCGTCTGAATAAAATTAAAAATAACGATATGAAGTTGTCGTAATGGAAGCGAAAATCGATTAAATCAATTTCAACTCGCGACGAAACTACTATAGAATAAACATTTCTCCTAATTTTTTTTTTTTACTAAAAAATAATAATATCTGTACATTGTATAGAATATATAAAAACTTATATAGTAGGAATGGAATTAGAATAAATCTAATTATTTTCTACAATTGGATAAAATATTTACAAAAGAGTCTAGTGTTTTTTTCTTTTTGTAAGTTTTGAGCTGTGTTTGAGCTTTTAAATTATTATAAAAACCGAGGCTCAAAACTACTTAATGTACTTATCGGTCTAGACTCTAGAGTCTACAGTCTAGACCGTGATTGATATGAAATATCTTAATTTAAGTCTGAATTCAAACAAAACGGATCCTGGGATAAGTATGAAAGGAACAAAAAACTAATATTTTTTATAGTCACGTTTTTTGTACTTTTCTAGTTTACTTCTAAATTTAAGTAAGAGAAAAAACTATTCGTTTTTTATATATATGGAAGAAATAAGAAAAATTATATTTTTATGGGAAGGAAGATAATGAAAATGAAAATGTGTACTAGAATGTACCAGGATGACATAAATTAAAGAAACTAACAATACTTTCGTATTTTTAACTAATCAAATTGAAAGTAAGCAGTACAAAATGTACCAGGAGAACATAAAATCTGAAGAGTTTCTTCCTATTTGTCCTTTTTACCCCACTTGTAAAGAGAGTTCTAAAAGAAAGTACTAGGAGTACATAAAATCACAAGAAGTCATATATAGAATATGAAATTTAAGATTTTCCAAAGTTTACTGTAACCGTAGCAGGTAAAAGCAAGTACCAGGGGAACATGAAATCATAAGAAGCCCATGTCGAGCGCGTTGTATAGCGCGGCGATGTCCGAGTGGCCCGAGATCCTCCAGAAGGGATAGTTCTTAGCCTTAGCGGCCGCCTCCTCGTCCTGACCGTCACCCACCACCACGTACGTACAGCGCTCACCGAAACGCTGCTTTATCTTTTCGAAACACGTCTCCTTGCCTGGAAATAATATGATATTTTTAAATTAAAAGAAGAACAAGTGTTCGAAATTCAAAATTTCGAAAGCCAGTACATATTTCAAATTCGAATGTTATATTTTTCATATAATTATTATTACCTGTCTTAGTGGCGGAGTATATATTCTCTATGGGGAAGACTCCGCCGAGTCCGAACAGAAGGACCTTGGCCAGGGCGGGCACCAGTTGTGTCGTGGTTACTAGTACATTCACACAGTTCTCCCTGTCGATATTATATATACATTATTAACTAACATAAAAACATATAATATTTTGTTTGAATTTAATTATAAACTATTCTCAACTATTTTTAACTGCAACCTAACTTATAAAATAGGAACAAGTGAACACTTCTTTCAAAATTAGTTATAAAGAAAAAAATACCTGGAGTTGATCATATTAAGGCATTTGCAGGCGAGCGTCAGCCAGTTATCAGTGGCCTGTTCTAGTTCAGCTCGTAGTTGTAACCACAGCTCTCTCTTAGCTGGTCCAAGAAGACCTCCGACACTAAAAAACAAATCTGATTAATTATTATACCTAATTGAACGATATTTTTGAATGAAAGTGAATATTTTTTACACATATAAAATTTTGATAACATTTGAAATCTTATTGATAATTTTCAAAGTAACAATTTTTAATTTAGTATAAAATTATTATTTATAAACTAGTAACAACAAATTACATTCATTCACGGTAAAAAGAAATCACATATTTAATAAAAGTTTTTTTAAAGCAATTTGTTCAAAGTTATTCTATAAAACACGTTAAAACTGTTTTAAAATTTTAATGCTGACAATGCAATCGTGTTAGGCATTGTATGTAAATAAAATAACAAATTATACAATATTTTCTGCTACACACTGAGACATCTAGTATACCAATATTAATCTATAACTAACCTATTCCTATAATTATTATACGTGTCCTTAATCTTCCTGTATCTGAAGGCTAGTTTCCTCATCCAATCCACGCCGCCCCTCACTCCGGGCGCGCACAGCCCGCCGCTGGGAGCCGAGCCAGCGTGGAACCCGTCCGATGAGAAGTTGTATGATGATAGGTCTTGACCATTATCATCTGCTGCTACAGCATCTATGTGCTCCTGGTCACAGTCCTACACACATATATGAAGGAATGAATGAATGAATGAGTAAGTGAATGAATGAACGAATGAATGGTAATAAAGTTAAGGCACTAATAGAAATGTAATATTAGATGTTAGATTTTAAAAACAAGAGAGTACTGGGATTAATGTAAGAAATAAAGTACAGTAAAAACTCTATTATCCGGCCCTCAGTTATACGGATTCGCGATTATCCGGACTACGGACAAGTCCGGACAAGAAATAATGTCAAAGCGTAAGAGAGTGGTGTTGTTGAGAGTGGCGTACGTCAAATGACAATTACCAAATATTTAAAAGCAAATTAAAGTTATTATTTTAATTCATGATCACCAATTGCAAATTACCAAATACATATTGTAATTTATTTGATGATTAAATCTGCAGTTTTTAGTAGGTATATACAGGGTGACTGGTGAATTACTATCAATATTTAAGGAGAATACTCGGTACATGATTCTCATTCGAATTATGTAAAAAAATAGGTACTTAATTTTTGACCACATTTCCGTATAAATAAATAAAGTGTGGACACGTTCCAAGTGTTCCAAGTGTGGACGCGTGCGGAGGCGTGCTGATACAACAACACGCCGCCGCACGCGCGTGTGTGTGTGTGTGTATACCTAATCTGTAGGGTGTTCACACGATGCGTAATTAATTACATAACTTTTGGTTAACTTTACTTAGAAGTTTATTAATATTTATGTTATATTAATTTTTATTCTGTCATATATGATCGTCAAATATCACGTCCTCAAATATCGAAAGTAATTCACCAGTCACCCTGTATATCTGTATGTATATGTAATCTAAGAAAATGCATCTTTTAATTACTGATTAACAAACATTGATTTTCGTTGATATGTATTTGTTGTTTTTTTTAAATAAACAAATAATATTATGTACTACGTATGCACAAAAACGGCTTTTCTTCATACATTCGATTATGCGGATTTTCGATTATCCGAATGCCTATCGATCGAACAATTAGTCTGGTTAATCGAGTTTCTACTGTAATCATAGTTGTATTTATTTAATTTACCTCAACATCATTGAAGAAGAAGTGTGTATCGGCAAGACTGAATATCATCTCCTCCATTCTATAACCTAATTGAACTATCTGTTGTGTGTCCTGTAACAAATATTAGAAGAATGAGTAAAAATGATTTTGTTTATAATTTAAAACACTTATACTGTTCTATATTAATTCAAAAACTAATTAAAATTAAAATGATCTATTGAAGAACTGATTCATTCAAACTAACTATAGGACTCAAAAATTGTATAAAGTAAGAATTAACATTAACAAACCTTATTATATTTAGTTGCATAAGTCCCTGTGAGCAATGAGTGGAAAATAATTATCGTCTCATCGAGATCCCATATAAAGACTCTGTCCGTGGCTGGCTCGGGAACATGTTGCGCGGGGGACGAAGAAGTGTTCCTACGACCACGACCACGAGATCTACTGGCTGTACTCTCACTGAAAGATATAATATTTGTTCCATATAATATATGCTTAGAATGTAGTTTTATTACTGTGTTTTCATAATGCTTATCACAGAAATTAACTAAATAATGTAGATAAAATATGAGATCCTTTCTTGGAGAAATTCTACTGTTGCACACATTATCCAGTAAAGGAATGAGATCAATATTTTTAAATCATTGTCTGATGATATCCAAAAAAATATTTTAATTCAAACAAATCAAATTAATAAGATTTAGAATTATATAATACTTTCAAATATTTGATATCAATTAATTTATTTATTTCATATATTTTAAGTGCATTCTTATAGATTATTACATATAATATGAACAATATGTATCATATTTTTCACAGCAATCAAAAAGTGTTGAAAAGTACAAAAAATAAAATATGCAAAGCCCTTTAAAAAGAATCATCTGTACCTTTACAAATTAACAACATATATGATATAAGAAGGAATATTATAGCAAAACAACTATATGTTTAATATATATCTCACCCTGAGTTTTCTCTGCATCTCCGACTGGCTGCATGGACCTCATTCTTGATCGGTGACAGTGGAGTGTCATTCAGTGTTGGAAGAATTGATGATGGAGACTCTATAATAGTTTTATAAAGTTTAATAATCAATGCATATATATTTTTATGTATTTTTTTTACCGGTTAGTCATTTAACTTTGAAAATTTCAATTCTTATACTATAATGTAAATAGAAATATTATAGTTTCTTTCTTACACCTATATTGTCATCAGTGTATACAAGAATTCAGTAACGTAATTTTATTTTACAAATAAAATATTTTATAACTTTTTAAGGTTATTTTATATTTTAAACATTCATCATTAATTACCACCATCACTCTCTGAATCAGGCCAGTAATCTGAATTATCCTCATAATTTTCTGAGCCTTTTTCGTCATCACATTTCCTACGTTTACTTGGAGGTGAACTATTGTTCTCCTTATCCATATTACTTTATTAAATCACAGATAAGTTTATTACGTTCCAAAAAGGTCTTATTAAATGGAGCTATTCAAAAAAGGAACTACACTTATTACTTTAATTAAAGTATTACTAAAGCAATTTGTAAACAACAACACAACTTTTAAGTATTAGGAAATGTCAATGTCAAAAGTTTTCACCACAGATATCATTTTAGTTACATATTCAACAGATAAGAAAAAGGTTTCATTTTAAAGAATTTTGTAACTTTAAATAATATATAATTTTTACCTGACAAAGTGCCTCCAAGGTGATAAGAAGTATGGCCTGCACTTCCACTGCTACTTGGCGAACTGACATAAGGTGAGTAACTTGGTGTTGCATAGTACCCGCCATATTGAGCGACGCTATGGTCCGCGTAGCCCGTCGTGTAACTACTGTAATCCTGATGTAGAGTTTGATTATGCAACTAGATGGCGTTACTAGTACTTAGAATATTTTCACATACAAAACTTGAATTTTGTTTTTATACAATTTATTTTAAATACATTATTATGATGATTACTTAATAAAACAGAACTTACTTGTTGCGTATTAGAAAACGACTGTGTGAGTCCGCCATTGTATGACGGATAGGCGTAGGGCGAGGGTTGGGTTGCGAAATTTCCAGGTACTGTCCCGACGCTACCCACACCGTAACTCAAATATGTGGGCGTAGCTTTACACGACGACCTGGGCCAGTGACGTCAGCAAATTAATGATACTAAAACTATTTATATGTACACATATTGATAATATACTGACAATTATCGTTTCTGAACGCTAATTGAGATATACACGAAAATTCTGACAGATTTACTGACACATCAAAACATATATAAACATCGCTAAGATATTCGTACATATGTTTTAACCTTTTCACATTAGATGTCAGCAACATTTGACAAAATATTATTGACCTTTATAAGTACTTATTATGTATGTACCTGTTATTAGTATTGTGCGGTGGAGGGTAGGCCGCGTAAGGCTGGTTGTACAACGTCGAGCCCACGTATGAAGACGCTGTTCCCGCACTACCATACTGCTGCATACTACACAATAAATTACACATTATTACTATAGAGTAAAGATGTTACATAGATAATAGCAAAAAGTATATTATATATAAATACTACATATATTTAAACCAAAAAAGTAGTTGGTGGGTATACCTCGTATTAAAACGTCTTTCAAACATATTAAATTAAGACGTCAAGTAGATTAATTAAATCAAATAGATTATTAAAATTTTGATAATGTACTTGTATGGCTTCCGAGTAATCCAATATAGGGTGTATAAAACTACCCACATTTTGTATTAGGTCAATAAATTTGTTTGTGTGTTAAAATAATCTTAATAAAGAATATAAAGCAATGATAACCAATGAAATATTAAACTATTACTTTGAATTGCGAAATTTATTTAGTATGTAAGCCGAATTATATTCAAAATATATTACACGTATATAACCTCTTATCATAACAAAGAAATCAATTTCAAAATAAACCTTCCCCCAGTAACTTTAAAGCTTAAAGTCTATCATCAGCCAGGTGAGCGTGATCCCTCCTCACCTATTATAATACTGGTAGGGCAGCGTGTTCTGGTCGTAGGGCAGCGTCTCTCCGTACAGCGCCACGTCTGCCTCACACAGCCCCGGGCTGCGCACCTCGCTCTTGACTCCACCCCCTACAATATAACTAGCTTTATATATATTACTATATAAATGTCACGCTTTAGATGTTATTTTGAGATGTTAATGCTTCGTGATAGACATGTTTCTTGTAGTTGAACTCATTTTTGTAAGCGACTTTGTCTATATATGTATATTGTGTAAATGAACAATATGAAGTTTGTATTAACAAACTGCTAGCGTCATCTATCGTCTATTTCACATTACTCTACAGTCTTCTTCTTCTACCTGGCAATATCCCAGCTATAGCCAGGGTCTGCCTTACATGTTGTGAATAGTTTTGGCTATTTGACATCAACCCTCTTTTTGAGAATCAACATTAATCAGTGATGTCTAAATACTTTTTTAGAAAGTACATATGATTCGGAAAAATCACATTGGTTATTACCCAGGATCGAACCCACGCCCATTCATGCACTCTTGAGAGGCGGGCCTTTTAACCACTAGGCCACCACTGACAATACAGTACAAGTACATAAATTTTGTGCTCCATTGCAAAATACATGAATGAAGAGTTAAATTACGGTCTAATTATTCTTATATCTAAGTTATATTATTTGAGAGTTTCATTTAAATTCTAATACAAGCTATTATTAGAACTAGAATAAATTACAGTTCTTAAGTGCTTACAGTATTCACATCATATAGAAATCATATTAATACTGGCTAAAGCTGGGATAATTTCCAAGAAGAAGTATGTACCTATATTATACTATATATTACCCGTGCTATCCTCATTCATCAACCAGGCGACGGCTGACGATGGAGTCGTCGAACACAGACCACCAGAGGAGGTGAGAGGCAGCGGCAGACCAGCCAGGGATGAGCTCGTGGAGCATCCGTTCACTAAGTTACAACTCTCCACTTCCGAAGTCGGTAAACCTAGAGAATCCACGGAGGGTAGGTTGGTAGAACTAACAGTGGACGTGTTTTGAAACAGTGTTGTAGACCCGGAGACTAGCAGCGCGGGTAGTGATGCATCTTGAAGCAGCGACGGCGGAGAATCAGAAGTAGACTCAGAGTCACACGGACTTGTGTTCACATCGCCTGATAACCTACGAATATAAAATCTTTTAAATCAGATCGATCGTAACATAAGCTGAAGCTGAACAAACCTAAACTATACCATCGGCTAACAAAACAACGGAATATAAAAAATCCATTAACAGCCCCGACTGTTTACAGACGCGTCGTCATATAAACAATCACTTATCCAAAATGTCTTAATTTCGGAGTCCGGAATTTAAATAAACAGATTTTTAACGCCGTTATAAAAAAAAACTTTAAAACCGTTAGCTGTTATATATCTCTATCGGAATTGGAGCATGGATAAAAAAATAATCCAATTAATATACCGTAAAAACTGAATCACTGTATGTTTGTTTTAAATTATAAACCATAAAATGTAATCACTTAAATCCAATAACAGATGGCTCTGTAGCAGACCCCTCGTATCTCATAATATTAGTGTATTTATCTAACAAAATGTTTACACGTGTTCCGATTAATTTAGCTCGTTATCAACGCCTGTGAGCCCGGGCCGCTTAATCAACTCCCCGCTGTCACACATGACAGTTGGCGTGTGACGTCACAATGGCTGAAATGTGACAGCAATTAATACGACTCCGCACTTGTCTTCAGACGAAATAAACGATCGAGCGTGAATAATTAATAAAATAACATCACCCAATGAATATCTCAATTAAACTAGTGCTGTAGCTTGATGAATATTAACAATGTTCAGTTAATATATACGTAACTATTTATAATTATTACTTTACACAGCCGCACCTTAATATGTGAATCAATTTCGTAATCGAATTAATATAATTAATTCTAATGTATGCTAATAGCACATTATGACAACTTCTTGTATGACGCCAGCTGTTTTATTGCTCCTCAATCTGTGTTTCAACGCGAATAATGTGCGTGATTAATAGATATCTATAATTCATTTGACTATATTGTTGTGTACAGACATAGTTTTATTACATTTTATATTTTTAATATTCTATCACTAGTGATATCTACGTATATTATAGTAATTATAATCTCTATTTATATAATTCCAACGTAACGATCGTTTTTAGTAAAAAGAACCCCTGTTTATATTAGTTCGCGCCTTTTTCAAGTGTCACTTTGCTTTTTGCCGCCACTTCAAGAGCAGCGTTCAAACAACACTATCGTATATCAAAAGAACTTCCCGGGTCGGAATTAATGTTGAAGCATTGTCACTATCTTTATAATTGAATGCTTTTTTTAATGTTTCGGCTCTTTTCACTGAGTGTTTTGCTTGCAGTAGTCATAATAAAAACGTCTTAAAACGTTCCAACGAAAGACTTCAAACAGATTTTTATTAGTCTTACGTCCTAGATGACATTCAATATGGCGCTATGATTGACATGTCACATTTTTAAACTCACTATCGAGGTGTATTGAAACAATTTATTCATTTATTCATACGTCGCCGGTTTTAAAAGGCAGCTTTGATTTTAAGCATATTATTTGGACTAATCCCGTACATGCACATGGAAAGAAAACAATAAACTCTCTGACTGCCCTCTCACAAGGACACAATGGCCGGCACACTCCGAGTGTTGAGAAAAAATAATAAGAGCCTTGTTACTGACACGAGTCAAGGGTTCCGTACGATATGGAAATATAAGTTATGATGTTTACTAATAATTAATAATTGAGAACCAGAAATCATTATATAAATAATGAATATATTTATAATATTTATGGATTATTTAATTCAACAAAATATTAATAATTCGATGATATTTTTAAATTCTGTATGACTTAGTGTAGCTTATTTTTGTTTGATATCAAAAATTTATTACATTAATATTATAAATCTCATTATTAACTGAACCCTAAAGTCTCCATGGACCCTTTTGTAACCGCCATTTGGCCTCCACGTGTCAAACTTTCGGTTGCTTTAAGAATCTATTAATTGCGTATTTTTTTTTTTGTTAACATAATAATATGTAATAAAACAGCTAGCACTATAATCATTATAAACACGACTCAAATATTAAAAAACAAATTCTATATCAAAGATACAAAGTAAAATAATACTCAAAAGAACGAAAATGTACAAAATGTTATATATTTTCATATTAATGTCGTAATTTTAAACTGACTTATAAAAACTTTTTATATCGTACAAGTCTTAAAACATTAATAGATCAAGGGTATGAAAATAAATAGAAACATAAGTGACATTTTACGTCACACGATATCTTAAATCCTGTGACAAAAATATAAAAAAATCCACAACACGTAACGGAACGGTGTTACGTAAAAAATGATTTATATTTATGCATCTTTTAAATAAACTTTCGAATATTTTAAGTCTCGGAATTCCTTTTTTAACCACTAATTAACACAACAAATGTGTCATGTTAAACGGAATGCAGCTCGTTAAATACTAGACGAGATATTATCGTTTTAATAACGTTTATATTAAGAAATAAATCAATAGTAACTACATTGAAATACAGGAATTTACGGAGACGATTTAAAATTTAATCTATGAAGACCAAATCTAAATCTATAATGTAACATAAAACTCGCTGAAATCCATTGTGATTTGAATCACTTCCTTTGATGGAGGCGTGATAATTTGTGATAAAGGGAGTGTCCCATTCGGGATAGCGCTAAGTAGCTCTTTTCACGGCAATTGTGTATCAACAATGTACGGATTACAAGAGATTAAAGACCCTTTTTATTGTATGAAGAGCCATCTATTTGAGTGCAAAACTACAATTCGAAATCGCAAGGTGGAAAAATGAAGTATGTTTGAACACAAGTTAAGTATTAAATGAATAGCTCCTTCAACGACCGACGTAAAATGTAAACAAATATGTTTTTTAATACAAACTATTTTTAAATATAGAATGTTATACCATAAGTAAAAATAACAATTTTATTCTTATATTCTTGTTTTATAATATATAGGTTGGTATAATTGTATAATGGTACCCGTTCGAAGGACATTCAAACTGAACGCAGCTATAAAATATGCCGCGAAACGACACGCGCAGCTGACAATCAAAATTGCCAACATTACAGACATGCAAATGTAAGAAAACAATTTGAATTCAGAACATAGGATCAGGAATAAACATTTTATAGTTTTTAAATGCTATTGTTACATAAAAATAAACGTTATACATAATACAAATGATAATAATATATTTAAGTTATAATAACAATTAAAAATTACTCACCGAATATCAGTACCGTTGTCGGGTCTAGAACGCTTTGCCTGTAACAAAATAACAAACTTTTTAAATATTTAGAAGTAAATCTGACATGTAATGAAGCTGGCAAGCGATAATTTTGCAAAAAAAAAAAAAACAAAGTAATGAATATTGTTTTGACGTTTATAAGAAGCTATAGGTTTTGCGTAAAACCTCCTTTCTCAGCTGGGACGGTTAAATTTACAAGACAGATAATAAATGATAAGAGTAATTAAATATTTTATCGCAATATAATTAATATATTTTATTAGTAATCATACGTATTCTTTTCTTTTTTTAATTAAACTTCTTATATGATATTGTGCGAGGTGAGCATAAATATTACTATTTACGATTTTTGAAGAAGCTGCAGCGGTCTGTATGAAGCGAATTTGTATGAGAAATTGATTTAAAAAATAATATGTGTTATGACAAATAAACAAAATTAAATTGAAGAAAGAGTATGTACTTAAAACATTAATCATAAATTATTCAAAAACTGTACCATTATTATTCGATATTCTAATTTAAGTTTCTCCAAAATCAAAACGTTACAATTCAAATAATGAATTTAAATTCTCATAATTTAAACTCAATATTTTAAATAAATACAAATCATTCCATAAAACAACATAACAATCGTGAAACCCAACTTTTCTAAAATACAAGAGATTTTTTGATAAAAATTACATTATAAATAATAAAACTTCTAAATGTCTCCCTCAGATCAAGATTACGGTAACAACATTAATAAAATCAAGCTGAATTTATTTAACAGCCGAGAGGGCGCCACTGAGTCTCTTTTGGAGATTTGATTTAGGAACTTCATTTTTATACCCTCCATTCTAATATGTATCTTATTTTAATGCATTATAATTGAATTTTGAATGCACCAGCACAATTACGACATTTTTGTGGGCAATTCGAAATATTTACACGTCTAACGTCCTCCTAAGTCATGAATGCCTGGTACTTTTGATATTGTTAAAAATATCAAATATTTCTTGAACATTCCTTAATAACTTTACAAGTTTAACTGCTTGTAGACAGAACTTGAAGACATTTTTAGAATTGTTTCCCCGTTGGAAGATGTAATTAATTGAAGCGTGCATTCAATGATTTGTGACGCATTTAACAAATAACAATACATTGACTATTTTGACGTAAGCGATGCATTCATTCATTAAATCAATAAATTTATACTGCTGACGAAACATGCACTTAATGAGGTTTTACAATAGATTCTCTTTCGTATTCATTGTTGCTATTTTATTAATATAAACATAGTTGACGTAATATCCGGCAGGCGATAAACAAAAGTAAACAGATATAATATTTAACTTTTCTTTATCATAATTGTTTCGCCAAGCCTAACCGTTCGGTCCCTAATTTATTTGTACTAGGAATCCAGTAACGTCAGTGGATCACGGAGCGTATAAAGTGGCGTTAAGGTACCAGGACAACATAAACATAAAGGTGGTGTCGCGTGTGAGAAAACGTAAATCACATAACCCGCGAGGTGTGAGGCCGGACGATCTCGTGATAGCGTGCTTTAATTTATACGTTTTACGCGGCGACAACGCGCCTGAACCGTCGCGATCATTCCTCACGAGCTACAGGCTGCTCCGGTTATATTAAAACGATACATTCTATACACCAGTAAAATGTTTGTTACATAAATTATAAGCTATTAAATCTATCGTTGATTGCGATAAAAAAATATATAAATCGAATAATATTTATTATATTTCATGTAGAACATTAAAGTAACATTCTCAGTCGAAACCATCGTGATTGTTAATAACATGTCCGGGAATACAGATATGAGTGACCGTTCCCACCGGGTCGCGTGAGACTCCATTAATCTGAACAGCCTGTGTTCTAAACGAGCCTCGAACAAAACTGTTATTTATTTAAACATAATTCGTTTATTGTTTTATCTCGTTTTATTTACGGTCGGGGACATCTCGTCTCGTCCCGCCGCGCTCCCGATCGACGAATAAATTTTCAAATTTATCGGCCGCCATATTTATGTACGTCGTTGATAATTCGAGGTATACTATTGGTGATATTAATTCGATGCTTCTTTTTTTCAAATCGTGTGAAATGTCAATTTCAATAGTGATTTATTTAAGCGTTTCGTTTTTATTATTTCTCTTGTATGTTCCTCTTAATATATTTAAGCGCAATCGTATATTAAATGTTTGATATGATTTTCAGCTTTGAAATATTTATTAGAATTTCATTACTGTAATAAAAAGGTTACATTAGATTGGCAATACATATAAATTTTTAAGTAAGCAAAATTTTTTTAATACATATTTTTCCGAATATATTTATATGTACAGTATGAAGTACGAATCTATATGGAAGTGTTTTGGATAACTTAACAATTTAAGTCACAATCAAGAGAGAGACATCTCGCTCGATAAATCGCCGTTCTTCGGCTATCAACTTGTACAAATTTGTTTTTATTCCTGTTATCTCTGGGTGGCTTTGTGTTACGATCTTTTATTTTTTCACCTTCATACCTTTTACAAGTCATTGGGTATTATTTGTGAGAAATGTATCATTTAAATGTTCGATTCGTAAAGAATAAAACATTAAAAGGTTGGACAATAATTTATATAACAACCGGCACATAAGTATCATGCACTTGACCGTGTTACCCGCCGTTAGTAATCGCATTCCAAATTCAAATCGTCCAAGCGTCGTGTGTCCGTAAGAGAACTCCGGCCGGTTATGATCCCCTGGTATCGTGTAGCTAACGACGCACTGTCCCGTAGGTAACGCACCAAGCGCGATGTGTTACGACTCTTTAATGGCCGATAATATTAACGTATCAATGGGCGACATGAGATCCGACGCCGTTCAACGCTAAATACATAAACAGTGACGTCCTCACTAACATTCGTGTATCCGGATTATGAAATACGATGTACATACATTTTGTCTTATATATAATCAAGCGAACGGAAAGAAACTACATGCAAACCATCTTCGTACATGCTAGAACATGCAAATAGATATAACTTAATGATAATAGATTTAAATAATTCTATATGTTCCAAATTTAAATTATGTGCAATGTGCTTCGTTTTCGCTGAATGGTTTGTGCAATATTAAATACTGGTTGGTGAATAGTGCTTTTAATAAGTATATTCTAACCTTAGGCTCGTCCAAGCTGCAGCGCGACGCGCCGCCGAGGAACCCGCACGGCATCAGTGTCACCATGCTGATGGTACCATTATCACTACACTATTACAGTCTTTGTTAGCGCCATGTTTGTCTATCGTTTGAATTTGGAACGGCGATAGTCTTTTTGTTTTAGTTCTTTTATTTCCATTTCTCACTGAACCTACGAAGAACTATATCACATATATTTACTTGTTTGTATTATTATTTTCCGAGTGAACGTATAACTTATTTAATATTGTTTTAAAACAACATTCGATATTAGTATCGGCTACAACATCGATTATAACGCTACGCTGGTGGCTAGTTATTGAAAGGTTAGTCATCGCTCGACATCAAAGAAAAAATTAAAAACAAAAGAAAAAAATTTACACGTTCGGACCACCCACAAGGTTTTCAAATCCGAATGTCGCTTGAGCGTGTTCATCAAGTTGTCAAATCAGTTTGACGTAATCGAAATAGTTTTTATTGCATTTTTTAAGCTCCAGCAGCTTCTGTTGCATTTAATTATGGGTTATATTCAAAGAGCCGCAATGTTTACTCTATTAAAAAATCATAGCTTAATATTTAGTTAGAGTCCTTGTACTAAACAGTTTCTTAAACAAATTTAATGTTTTTGAAACAATTCCGTCGTCTTACTTAATAACTCTACATCAACACTCTACAATTAAGTTACTTAATATTACATTTTTCATATATCTTAAATTATGTTTATACAGTTTATTAATATCGTTAGCATACAAAGGGAGACAAAAAAAAATATAAACAAAAAATAATACTGGTTAGCGTAACCTCTATAACCTCTTTCTCACCAGGTCTTAATTTGAAATGCTTCTGGTTTTAAATAAAAAAAAAACTTATAGCAGCTTATAGCGGCGTTAATTTTGAAATTCGAATAGAAATGACGTTCACTTGCACGGCTATAAAATAGAATAGTTTAGAACAGGTGAGCTAGCTGGCGGGGGGTTACAGTAGCGTCCGTGACGCTGCGTGACACGGACGTGTGACCATCATGTGGGATTATTGACGGACACTATAAAATAATAATCAATTCTATATTGAGAATAATTTAGATACTATATTCATAATAGATTTGGTATATAAAATTTTATATGTATTAAATAATTAATTGGAACTGAACGCTTGAATCATTGTCACCCTACATCACAGCATCTGACCTCATCTCAGCGGGATGTCGCCGTGTTTGTTCCCAAAACAAGCGTTAAAATACATCGAGTCCTAATTAATTGTATCTCAACATTACACAAAAATGAATACAACTTAAAAAATATATATGGAATCCATCAAAAAAGTTATCATAGTCACGTACTCGTATAGATAAAAACTTAAAAAAAAAAAGTTTTAAATAACTTAAAACATACGATCTTCATAATATGCTATGTTAATTACATTCTAGTTTTTAAATATCGTCATAAAATCTACAGACTCACATACTAAATACACGTAGAATATCCAGTGCGGCCGTTTCCTCCATAATATACTAATAGGCTTCTACGATTAAACATTACCGTTCCATACTTCTATCCTATAAAGAAAATCTTCTTGCCGGTCATTGGCTTTTGTGTGATTTAACTTAACTTATATTTTCTTACATATTATAGGTATAAACAATAAATATATTTTTTATTTTAAACTAATTACAATAACATTTAATTTAACATTTTGTATTACCACGTAATAATTTCTGCATATATTTTTTTCAAATTTCGAACCCGTTCTAAATACAAATAAACTCCTCGTCGCGTCACACCGTCTGTGAGAATCGATAATGTAATGTGTTTACGATCGAATTAAAATCGATTGCTCGATCGTGAGCCGTTCGTATGAAGTTTTTTGTTGAAATTATTCTATATATTTTGTTGTTTATTTAAAACTACCGATATAATTTAATTTGTTAATATCGTGGAGCATTTAATTTGTTTTTTAAGCATGTAGTTTACTTTATTTAATTTTTTGTGTGTATCGAGAAATTGTTTTTCTGATTACTTTTCATTAATAACTTAATTATACTTTATATTATATTCTAATATTGAATTCCTTGTTATTTTATCAACTTTACTAGATCGTCTTTTTCCAATCAAGTTGTGTTTAAAGTAATTCATAGAAAACAAACTATAATAACATGTGTAAAATAATTAAAGAAGCACATTTTAATAGAATACATATTAACAATAGCGGCTAAAAATAATGTTTAAAGAATGATTTATACCAATACAGTTGTTTTTAAACTAACGACATATTACTAATAGGCGGGGACATCCTTTTTAAAGCCTAAAAAGTTATCGGTTCCTTAAAAAAGTGATTATTACAAATAAATAAAGTGATTTTACACATAATAGATTATAATGAAGATTGAAGACCAATACAAAAAACAATTATACCTAACTCAGTCTTCAATAACTGAATTAGATACTAGCTTCCGCTTCCGTCTTGTGATGTCAAAGATGTCACTAGTGACGTTGACATTTGAAAAATTGCGTTTTATAATAATTATTGGTTTGAACATTTGTTACATATAATAAATATATTAATGTATGGAAAGTCATACATATATATTTATGTTACAACAGCTATTAAAACTTACATTTCTCTTGAATTACTTATTTCCATACTGTTCTTTGTATTAATAAGCGCTCATACTTTTTAAAAGGTAGCGATCACTCTTATAAAAATTACTTTTGATACCTTAATGTAAAAATCCGTAAGAATGTCCTCACAAGAAATGTTTCTTTAATGAATTCTTATTATATTCCCGTTGTGAACATTTTGATATAATTTCGTTTTATTGTTTTTATTTCTAATTTATTTACAAGTTCAAAAAAGTTGTCATTAATTCATTCTATAATTTTAGTTTACATTTTTACATGCAAGTCAAATTTTCAGTTAAATATACTAATGGGAAAGAATTCATTTATTACATATAAAAAAATGTTATGAGTTATCTAATAAGTAGCTTAATGAAATATTATGTTGGTTCAAACGAAGCACATGACTGAAGACGACATGACGACAAAACGGCCACAGATAACATCAGTGATACGTCGGGGGCCATGTTTAATAAAAATAAATATGGCACTATGAACCTAAACCTTCGTGTCTATTAAAAAAAATACCCTCTATAAAATGAGTACATCTTAAAAATTCAAATTTGGAACGAATCACAATTGTCTATTCGATTTCTTTTTTAGTGAACATAAAAACAAAACAACTCAATCAAGCACAATAAATATATGTACAAGGCTAATAAATGCAGCTTTATTATATAATTATGTAAATAATTTGACCTCAAATTTAACAACCATTTAAATAATTAACGAAAAATTCGACGATTAATACGACACACTAACTGTTCTTAAACATAAGAGACATAAACTCGCCAGATAACAATCTCGGCGATAAATTAATCGATTCTTAAAACGATGCATAAATTAATCGACTTGAACGATTCAGCAATTACTCGATGCACCGAGATATTTATTTATTTTTATTTTTTTTTTTGTTGTAATTTATTCGAAATTTGAATTTATGCTAATTCAGTATGATATTAACATCATCATAATTTATAATTATGGTTTTTTGTTTTAAAAATATTTTTGGTAATAAAAGTTGTGATTTATGTTGTTACTTTTTTAACTTCGAGTTTACGCATAGATTATATAACTGCTCATGTTATTTAGTTTTTATACATTTCAACGTATTACTGAAAATTTAAATTATACTTTTAGAAACGGCATATCATTTTTTATGTATATATTACTTTAGATTATTTGGTTGATGTTTTCAGAAAATTATAACAAAGATATATTCGAAATGCTCATCTCAGTAAATAACAGAGTTTTCTGTGAAGGAAGTAATAATATAATTACTCATGTATATTATTTACTAGCCCATATGAACATACGTGATTATTTCCAAAACATGTTAAAAGAAATCGTTACTTCCATACTCCAAATATATGTACCTATACTATTTGCTACCAAATGAATTTTATATAAAGCGCTCCGACGATGAGATTGGCACAAAAGATTATAATAGAAAAAGAAATGTTTAATCCTCTATTGTAGCGCCGAATATTATCTGTGGACAGCTGCGAAATTTGAATTACGAACATCCATGTCCTATCTCCTTCCCTCGTCCCGCCCACCCGAGACCACGCCCCTTCCGCCCGCCAAACTAAATTGAATTTCGAACAATTGAATCACTCTAGGATAGCTTCCCGAAAGTCGTCTGTATGTGTGCGTGTTAATGTTAACGCAGCTTAAATGTTATCTTCAATTGCCTTTGTTGTTTGTGTGTAATTTGTTTTAGTTGGAAACAATTGTTACATTCTGTTTATTATAAAATATTAAACTGATTTTAAAACTACTCAAGACTCAACTAACTAACTATAAGTGCGTAGCGCGCTTTCAATATTCATCTCCGCTTCTTAGTTGCTGCAAAGTAATTTGAAACGAGTTGATTTTTTAAAAGCTTACCTTAGGACAATATTTTTGTTTAAATATTGCCTCTTTGATATTTAATTTAAGTTTCTATAAACAAACACAGCAACAGTGTAGCTTTATTGATGCCAGGACATTCTCAGGACGACGACATCTTTACTATTGCTATAAATTAAAACCAGTATTTTATTGGATGTTTATTATTTTCATTGTGCTTTTAAACTGAGTTTGTTGTTTATAATTTTGATAGAGGAGAGAATTTCTTTGTTAACAAGAATTTAATTTAAGCATAGTAAGTGATAGTCTAGCAAAGTACCAGGCGATCATAAGATGGCGGGCACTGCATTTTATTGTTTATGCCTTCCATATCGGGAGTACATTCTACACCTCACAGTCTATGCTCGCCTGGTGGTCGCGATACCTCAAACACTATGTCAGCAATAAAAAAAATATAAATATATAAAACCTCTTTTGTAAACATAAAGATGTTTTTAATCTGTGGTATATATAAGCTATATTTCAATGGACATTTTCTAACACGTATTCCATACCTAGCGTGCTCTCGATGCATGCAGAATG